AGACTTGAGGGGAATGTTTACTAGGCTATGACAATACTTATGACGTCATAGTTGTTGGTATTCGTGTGTGAATGTTTATTTTGATTTTTTTTATAGATGTACAATTTGCTGAATATTTTTATTGTCTTCGGACATTTGGACATTCTCATATATTTTTAGTCACCTTACAAGGTTTTCTGTACTTTCTCTTTACACACACACACTGTCTCTCTCTCTCTGCTGTTTTTAGAAATTACTTGTCTTTCCTCACGTCTTTCTCTTCCCGCTTACATCATTCCCTTCTCTCCCCCCCTCCCCCTTTGGCGCACGTGCAGAGACCCTCCCCCCTACCCCATCCCCCGTCCTCCACACCGCCCTTTAAACAGACAATTCTAAGAACACGTCAAGCTCTGAGATAATAATAATTTACCCAACATGGCAACTTTTCTCGAGGAGGGTCGTGACCGTATGTAAACTCTGTGTGTGTCGTCAGTAGTTGTGTTGTGGTCGTGATAATTGGGAGGATGATAATAACAAGGTAGGAATGGTGAGCCATCCAGTGACTGAGGGGCTTCACACGTCCGCTGCGCCGGGTCCTGGAGGAGGGGGTGTGTGGGGAGAGAAGCCCTATGTTGCTTCTGTCTGTCTGTTTGCCCTCACTAGCTCTCTCTCTCTCTCTCTCTCTCACTTTCATCATAAGACTTTTGTGTTTGTTTGCATGACTTTATCTCACGTTTGTACACTGTGGTAAAGGAGAGTTTTGACTGAATATAACTTAAACCTTCAGCTAACATCATTGGTTAGTGAGAGAGAGAGAGAGAGAGAGAGAGAGAGATAAGTCGTAGTAATAGTAGTCACGACCGATGGTAATATATCTCTTGTTCTCTTCTTTCTTCTCACTTTCTCTCCTCACTCACTCATTCCCATCACTCTGACTCCCATCACTCTCGCTTCACTCCTCACTTAACTACCTCTCACTTCTCCTCACCATCATTCCCCTCCCCTCACCATCATTCCCCTCCCCTCACTTTCCTCCCTCATTATGTGTGACCTCATGACCCCCTCACACACATTAACAACAACACGAGTTCTCAATTTGTTGGTTCAAGTACCAGGCAGTAAAGTGGTCCGGAGATCAAATGGTCCAGTGGTCCATTTGTCTAGTGGTCCAGTGACCCAGCTGTCCAATAATCCGGTTGTCTAGTGGTCCAGGTGTACAGTGGTCCAATGGTCCGGTCGTCTCATGGTGCAGATGTACAGTGGCCCAACTACCTAATGGTCCAGGTGTCCAATGGCCTAGTGGTCCAGTGGTCCAGGGTAACATCTTAGGCGCCACCGTGACTCCAGCTGTATATTTGATCTGTGTGGTGCACCTCGACCTGCCGCGTCTCCCTCTCTCTTCTCGTGCCTGTCTGTCTGTGTCTGCCTGTCTGTCTGCCTGCCTGCCTGTTTGTGTCTGTCTGTCTGCTGCCTGTCTGTGTCTGTCTGTCTGTCTGTCTGTCTGTCTGCCTGCCTGTCTGTCTTGCCTGCCTGCCTGTCTGTCTGTGTCTGCCTGTCTGCCTGTCTGTGTCTGTCTGCTGTGTGCTCCTGCCTGCCTGTCTGTGTCTGTCCTGTCTGTCTGTCTGTCTGTCTGCCTGTCTGTCTGTCTGTCTGCCTGTCTGTCTGTCTGTCTGCCTGTCTGTCTGTCTGTCTGCCTGTCTGCCTGTCTGTATCTCTGCCTCTGCCTGTCTGTCTGCCTGTCTGTCTGTCTGCCTGTCTGTCTGCCTGTCTGTATCTGCCTGTCTGTCTGTCTGTCTGCCTGTCTGTCTGTCTGCCTGTCTGTCTGTCTGCCTGTCTGCCTGTCTGTATCTGCCTGTCTGTCTGTCTGTCTGTCTGTGTGCTTGTGACCTTCTGGTGTCATGCATCCCTGTGTGTGTGTGCGCGCGTGTGTGTGTGGGGGGGTTGCATGTATGAACTCATCTGTGTGTGGACATATTTGGTCATCTTCAATCACGGAGAAAGGCCGGGGAGGGGGAGAGGGGTGGTGGGGTGGTACAGAGGGGTAGGTGTGGGGGGTGGATAGAGATATGATGGATAGGTGAGGAGAGTCAGGAGAATAGAGGAGTGGGAAAGGTTCAGAGTGGTGGGGGTGTACAGTGTGGTAGGGAGGGAGGGAGGGTGAGTCAGGTGGGTTGGGGGTTAAAGAGTGAGTACGAACATTATTTTCTGCTCGTATGCAAGTTAATTTTTGTACACATGTGAATATATTCATTTACATATACGTACACAAAATTCCATGCGTGTGTGTGTGTGTATGTCGAGTGGTGGAGTGAACTTCTACGTAGATACGCCATAATCTCCTGTAAGTAATCAGTGTGAAGGTATCGGACTCTACGGTAAGAAATAAGAAATACGACATATTATTATCTTTATATAATATAATCCACTCCTACTACCACGGATACAACCAAAACCATGACATCTTCACTAACCCATGGCTCAGGGGATACTACTTAAAATGAGGTTTTTGGGTGTGAAGCGATGAACACTGTTTCACTGCCCACCCCCCTAAAGGCTGGCTAACATACGCTAATGGAAAAATACATGTCCCAGTTATGCCTCGCCGGGCGTCTTATCTCTGGTAAAACAAACTTTGGAGTTGGTTGCGTGGGCAAGCCTAACGCAACCCATGACACCAAGTGGCCACCGCACCCTTTACATGATGTGTGTGTGTGTGATATTTAAGTGCGTGTATGCTTGCGGACATTTAAGTCTGTATGTACTATGGATGTGTGTAGGTATGAGGTGATTGTATGTATGTATGTATACGTGAGAGCTGTGTGTATGCCTGGGTCATGTAGGTGTAGGCAAATGAACCTTGTAGGTGTATGAGGTGACCTTGGCTAGTGTTTGCATGTGTGTGTGTGTGTGTGTGTGTGTGTGTGTGTGTGTGTGTGTGTGTGTTTAAGTACCTTCTTTGCATCAGAAACACCTAACATGTTCCCCTCTCTCTCCAGCTTGATGAAGTGTCTTATATCAGCTTTACCTCAAGCTGGTGATACGAGAACGTGTTAAGCTGCGGTAGAGGTTCGGTGTAACTTGAGGCCAACACACTCGCCACGGTATCTTGAGTGTGTCGGATTAACTGACACTCATACACTCAGCTTGTATCACTCAATTAGGTTAGGTTAGGTTAGATTAAGGTGAAATAAGCTGTGGGGGGAGTAATCTTCGGGTGATCTAATTCTTACCTTAACTGCGGTAGATATAAGAAACCACCTCGTTACGTTATAATTTAAGTGTTAAGATAAATTAGTGACGATATTGGTTTCACTTCTTCCTGGTTCAGTTCTTGTTATTGTTCCGGGAAAATATTAAATCGTTAAACCCTTGAGAATCCAGCTTAGTATCGTTGTTTTAAGTCAGTTTATTTGTTTTCCATATTATTTAAAGGAAAATAAATCACCTTAGGAATTTTAGAGAATATATTTTTTTTTCTATGTTGGTTCAATCTTTTTTAGGATGGTTTAACCCTTTGATGAGGATGATGGTTTAATTTTTTGAGAAGGATGTTTTAACTCTTTGAAGATGATGTTCTTACCCTTTGAGGACACTGGTTTAACCCGTCGAGGATACTAGTTTAACCCCTTGCGGACACTGGTTTAACCCCTCGAGGATACTAGTTTAACCCTTTGATGAGGATGATGGTTTAACCCCTTGCGGACACTGGTTTAACCCCTTGAGGACACTGGTTTAACCCCTCGAGGATACTAGTTTAACCCTTTGATGAGGATGATGGTTTAACCCCTTGAGGACACTGGTTTAACCCCTCGAGGATACTAGTTTAACCCTTTGATGAGGATGATGGTTTAACCCCTTGCGAACACTGGTTTAACCCCTTGCGGACACTGGTTTAACCCCTCGAGGATACTAGTTTAACCTTTGAGGACACTGGTTTAACCCCTCGAGGATACTAGTTTAACCCTTTGATGAGGATGATGGTTTAACCCCTTGCGGACACTAGTTTAACCCCTTGCGGACACTGGTTTAACCCCTTGAGGGCAGTGGTTTAACCCTTTGATGAGGATGATGGTTTAACCCTCCAGGACTTAAAGGATTAAGTAAACCAGTAAGATTTTTTTTAAATATTTCTAACTAAGGGATAATTTTACCCTACGACCCTTCTAGAATCCATCATTAAGTGTCTTAAGTAAATCAGTAATTTTTTTTCTTCATATTTTTAGTTAAAGGGACAAAAATATCGTATGGAACTCTGAGAATCCATCACTGTGTCTGTGTAAGTGATTCAGGTGTGTTGGCAGGTGTTCATGGGTCTGGATACCTGCCCTATGGTTGATTTGAGTGTGTGAGAGTGAGAGAGAGACAGAGAGAGAGCGGGTTTATAAGTTTTAGTACTGTATTGTAATGAGAGAGGGGGGGGGGAGGTAACTTTGACCTCTGACCTTGTGGAGTAGCATGTCAATTCTGGTTACGGCAGCTCTGGATCAGCGGTGCCAGCAGTCGGTTAAGTTGAGGTGAACAGATCACCTTTTCTGTTTAGTCTTCCATTTACTGTTAACGGGTTCAGTTACTCTTTAAGAATCTCTCAAAGCAATATACTATTAAGGGATATCATATTACCGTTTACAGACTCAGTCAGAATTCCAATTACTGTTAAGTTTCTAATTTGCTGTTAAAAGCCTTATAGTAGCTTTTAAGACTCATTTATTATTGAGACTTTTTTCTGTTAACAGACTAAGTTACTGTTAAAAGTTTCCCCACCTACTGTTAATAAACTCTCCACTTCTGGTAACAGACTCCCAGTATAATTTGAACACATAGTTTGCTATTAATGACTTACTGTTAACAGACTCCTCAGTTACTGCTTACAGACATTCAGGTACTGTCTTACTTCAATCACTTACTGTTAACTCTCAGTCACTGTTAACGGATTGATAGTGAGGAGACTTTACTTTCTGTTGAGTCCCCGTTAACAGACCGCCACACATCAACAGTAATAAAGGAAACAATAACAAGTCATAGGAATTTTGTGACTTTATTTGTGCCGTGTTAGACTTGGTGTGGGCGGAGGTTGGCCTGTGGGCGTCGTCCCGCGGGCGGGTTAAACTAACCCCACGTCCACATGCCCACACTGAAAGCTCCGTGTAGGGCGAGGAATGTGAAGAGGCGGAGGGTGGGCGTGCGCAGGTCGAGGCCTAGATATTTATCGCCATGGGCGGGCAGGAGGGATGGGGGGGTAGTGGACCCGAGTCCCTGTGTGGGCGGGGGACAAGCGGGTGGGACTATGGGGCGATTGGTGTGCCCTTGGCTACGTATGGGCGGGGGTGAAGGGCGTATTATCTTCCCGTTTTATGGGCGGGGAAGCATTTCCGCGGGATGCGAGTGGGCGGGATAAAGAGCCTGGGTCGCGAGTGGGCGAGGGTTAAGGCTCGGGGCAGCAAGGGTCAGGAACTCTTGGTGGTGATATATTAAGGTGCCACGCCTCCCTGGTGACGTCACACGCCGCCCTCCTTCTGCTTGTGTTGTCTTAGCCCAGAAGAAAGTCAGGTGTCGTAGGTATGGTTATAATTATTTCGTATAAAAGCTATATAATTCTACCTTCTTTTTAAAAATTCTTACTTAGATTAAATGATAAAAGTGTTTGGGTACCAGATGGAGGAATAGGGGAGGGGGGGGATGATGGAGGGGGGAGAGAGGGGGACGACTCCTGCGCCGCGGTAAGTGAAGCATCGTTGACATCCGACGTGTTACTGTTGAGCGGACGAGACAAGTTGTCACTCAAGAGGGCCACCCCCGGCCTCCACACTCTGTCATCTGTGGCCCACCTGAGGTGGCTGTCACCATCCTTAGCTGGTCTCCTCACCTGGACACATGAGGACCTGCACTGGACGTCGTGTGATCATTCACAAGACGTCTGCTGTGTTGTGAAGGTGAGTGACTTTGACAGGTGACTGGTGTGGAGGCCTAGGGGGGGCCCCTGGATGGTGTTGGTGAGTAGGAGCGGCTGTTGCTCCTGGAGGCGGTGTGTTAGTGCGGACGTCGGGTCGTTGAGGGCGATCTACAGTTCGAGACTTCCTCGGACGAGTTACTTCGGGGACTCATTTGCCGACAGGATTTTTATCATCCCAGGAGAATGATTGAGGCGGAGGTACAAACACTGGAGAAGATTATTGTGGTCATGACCAGGGTTTGTCTTGGTCCTGAGCACAACACTGTAACTCTAACATGTTTTGTCCTCAACCAAGACGCCTTTGATTAACTGCGGTAGGTGAGTGACCGGCGCAGGGCAGGTCAGAGGTCAAATGGAATAATGATTTTAAGCAGTATCTGGTTCGGCGTCCTCCTCGTACTCTCCCAGGTCCTCCTCGTCGTCGATGCTGGCCTCCTGGTACTGCTGGTACTCGGAGACCAAATCGTTCATGTTGGACTCGGCCTCCGTGAACTCCATCTCGTCCATACCCTCGCCTGTGTACCAATGGAGGAAAGCCTTCCTCTTGAACATAGCTGTGAACTGTTCGGAGATACGCTTGAACAGCTCCTGGATGGCTGTAGAGTTGCCGATGAAGGTGGAAGCCATTTTGATTCCTCTGGGCGGGATGTCGCACACGGCCGTCTTGACGTTGTTGGGGATCCATTCCACGAAGTAGGAGGAGTTCTTGCTCTGGATATTATACATCTGTTCATCGACTTCCTTCATGGACATCTTGCCTCTGAAGACGGCGGCGACGGTGAGGTAGCGTCCATGGCGAGGGTCACAGGCGGCCATCATGTTCTTGGCGTCGAACATCTGTTGGGTGAGTTCAGGGACGGTGAGGGCGCGGTACTGCTGGGAGCCGCGAGCCGTGAGGGGCGCGAACCCGGGCATGAAGAAGTGGAGACGGGGGAAGGGCACCATGTTGACGGCCAGTTTCCTGAGATCGGCATTGAGCTGTCCGGGGAATCTGAGGCAGGTGGTGACCCCAGACATGGTCAGGGACACCAAGTGGTTGAGGTCGCCGTAGGTGGGGTTGGCCAGCTTGAGTGTACGGAAGCAGATGTCATAGAGCGCCTCGTTGTCGATACAGTAGGTCTGGTCGGTGTTCTCCACGAGCTGGTGGATGGAGAGCGTGGCGTTGTATGGCTCTACCACAGTGTCGGAAACCTGCAATATTAAAATCAATAATATTAGCCGTGCACTTTTAATGTTTCTCTTGACTCATTTCGTCATATCACAATCAAGTCGGTGAACGATAAAACATTCTTTGTATCAATAGGAACATTTCGTCACACACACTCCACATTTACTGAAACAACACATATGTCACATTCTCACGATGAAGTCTATTTTATGCACATGTTTCACAGCCAAAATAACACCCACACCATCATCCTAACTCACCTTGGGGGAGGGGACGACGGAGAAGGTGTTCATGATCCTGTCTGGGAACTCCTCCCTGATTTTGGAGATGAGGAGGGTGCCCATACCAGACCCGGTGCCGCCTCCCAGTGAGTGTGTCATCTGGAACCCTTGTAGACAGTCGCAGTTCTCCGCCTCCTTCCTCACCACGTCCAGCACAGAGTCCACCAGCTCAGCTCCTTCAGTGTAGTGACCCTTGGCCCAGTTGTTACCCGCTCCTGACTGACCTGTTGAAGGGGAAGTCATGTGGTGGTGAGGTCAATTGAGGGTACCGGGGGTGATGATGGAGGGAGAGGTCAAATAAAAGGGTGCTAAAGATGGAGGGGTGCTGGGGAGTCAAGAAGTGTATGAGGAGGATTGGGAGGGTCTTATAAAGGTACCTAAGAGGGTTGTGGTGGGGGGTAGGGGGTCAAATTTGGGGTGCCAAGTGGTGAAGGTGTTGGGGTGTGATGGGAAATACATTCATTGGTGGTTTAAAAGATGTGGTTGTTTACACTGGTGAGAGGGAGGGTGAGAGAGAGAGAGAGAGAGAAGGGGGGAGGGGGGTGGGGGAGTGAAACATTACTACACTTTCAATGAATAAATTTCCTCTCTGGATCTACCTATGGCTGGCCAACTATTTTTTATTAAACTTGTATATAAAATTATAATTAATATACATTCTATCATATAATATTACATTAAAGTTTCTAGCTTAAAGGTACATTATAACGTCAATTACCAGAAAAGTAATAATTTTTACTATAATCTACTTTACATGAAATTTATTTACTTACAACATATGTCAAATTCTCTACAGGTTATCTCCTAGAATGATAAGATACTGATAACAATCTAGGTACTATACTACAGACGAGTAAGAGTAACTCACGGGGTTGATAAGAGATGGATGAATGATAAGCAAAGAGGGAGCATGGATAAGAATCAGGGCTGAACTGTAGATAAACACCACGGACATGCAAAAGACACGCCGCAACAGAGAGGACATGCCAAGCTGAGGCAGGAGGCTATAGAGGGTCAGACACGCAGTATAAACCCAGGTAGTGACGGTGGTGAGGTGTACAATACGTGGGTTCTTTATTAAGCTCAGAAATGTACAACTACCCACCATAATATTGTAACAGGAATGAGGACAGAAAGCATAATGATAGTTACCCATTTACCAAGGTCCAGCAGTCTTAGTGGAGCCAGTCTAGTAACAGAGGAACACCTATCGCTACACAACCAGGGTCAAATATTCGTCTCTTTGTACACGGGAATATCTCAATAGTTGACTGTGTGTGTGTGTCCATATATAAAGGTCAGTATAGATGTATAAAATCATCACATCACTGATTTTTTTTTATCGATCCGAACACACAATAATCGTTTTCTTTTTACACACAGACAGACAAAAAGAATATCTAAACCAGTATTATGGACCTTTAAAAAACCCTAGTAATGGCACTAATGGCCTCCTAAGTGAACCATCATTTAGGTTCCTGAGCGCGGGAATAGAGGCAGGCAGGCAGGGTCATAGTACTGAAGTTATTATTTTGTTCTTTTACTACAATATATAATCGTCGAAAGTGGCTGAATATCTTACGCTTCAAAATGGCGTTAATATCCACACAAACTAAACATCAGATCTTTGTCTATTTTAATAACATACGTGCCGATACAGACGAATATTTGACCCTTAGTTTATTTCCCCCTGAGTTTATTTCCCCTTGAATTTATCTCCCCCAAGAGCACGAGATATGTTTTTCTACTGAGGCGTGAAAAATATATGAGTTATCCCTGGCATTACACCAGAGAAAACTGTGTGTTATCTAAGGTTAGTAAATACATTTGAGGATTTATTTGTTATATGGTGTAATAAACAGACTCTACTGACTGACTATAGGAAGAATTTATACAAGGTGATCATTTACAGTGAAACTTTCATATAACGGACTTCTCTTCATATAATCCATGAGATGGGACGGATTTCTTATCTAACGGACCCTAGATATAATGAACTTTCATCTCTGCGTAGTTCATTAGATGGAAGTTTCACATCTAACGGACCCCCTCGATATAATGGACATTCATCTCTATGTAGTCCGTTAAATAGAGATTTCACTGTACTGTGTATATACAGGTATTTATAGCATGAGGTTCACTTTACTGAACACGGAGATAATTAATTTAGTGTAAGGATAAGTGAGACGTCAAGCTGTACTGAATAATATAAGAATGGATAACAATCTCTACTAAGTAAATACTGGAAGGTGACGTCATACTGTTTGGGAAGTGTGAGAACCCTGGAATGCTCGTCACCCTTAATATTTTTTTTTTATTTAACCCTTTGAGTCCTGAAGGTTTAAATCATCGTCCTCAAAGGGTTAAAACATCATTATTAAAGGTAAATTATTGTATTCAAAGGGTTAAATCATCATCAAAGGGGTTTTATAGATACATTGAGTTTATTAATGCGTGTTTTATAGGTGTGTGGGGGAAGACAGGTGTTCTTAATAAACAAACGCTGCATATTGTTAAACCAAAGTTCAGTGTAGTAATTTTGGCTCAAGGAAACGGGGTTTTTTTGGGGGGGGGGGCTGATGGGTTGGTTGTAGAGCATCAGTGTGTTGAGAGCATCCAGTAGAGTGTGTTGTAGAGCATCAGGGAGAGTCAGTAGAGTGTGTTGTAGAGCATCAGGGAGAGTCAGTAGAGTGAGTGAGACTGTTACTAACCGAAGACGATGTGCTCTGGCTTAAAGAGTTTGCCGAGGGGTCCAGCGCGCACCGAGTCCATCGTGCCGGGCTCCAGGTCCACCAGCACTGCCCGAGGCACAAACTTTTGCTGGTTGCCCTCGCTGTTAAACAAGCAACAAACAACCCGGCTGTTAGTGCAAACAACGATGCTGCTACAACGCCCGACAACATCCCGGTGTGTTGTGCGTGGTTAATATAGCGTGCCACAGCTAACCTCAAAACCCCAGCAAACGGTACAGAGAAGTGACTTGTGTCTCAGCGTAGACAACAAACCTGCTGGTGGGGGAAGATGAACACAACTCGGGGTGTAAGTTTGTTTGTCTATGAAGTGGGTAATGCTATCTCGCCCTCACAACACAGGGGGATGTTGTTCTTTCGGGTTTATGGTTAATGCTGGTGAGGTAAGCTCCCCTCTGACCTCCTCTAGCTATACACTAATAGAAATGTACAGCAGCGGAAGATTCATGACCTGAGAGTATGACCTTACCTTACACTGGGAAATGATCAGTAGCTTTAGTTTAAACTAAATTTTGGTCATGAATCATTAGGCGGCATAACATTTCGGTCGTTGGTTAGAGGCCAGAGGAGTGAGCATTTGTTGTGTTAGGGTTTTTTAATTCAGGCTGTGAAGCGAACTAAATTCTATGTATCGGTAAATAAACCAGATGTCCATAGAATTTAGCATCAATCAGTGAGGGACATCCACTGCTGTTGTTGTGCTGCTGCTGCTCGTGCTGTTGTCTCCCCCTTGCTTACGGCAACACCTGTTCTCTTCCATATTAAACCCTTGTGGGGGGGGGGGGGAAGCAAAGGACCTTCTTTGTTGATACTTTATGGAAAAGATTTGAAATATTTGGATCAATTAGGCATTAAAGGATGAGAGAGACAGTGAACGATTGTTGTTAGCAAAGATAAGAACAAGAACGCAGGCACTAATGGCGGGTGATGGTCACTGTTGATATAAGTGAGGCTCGTGAGTCGTGGGGGGAAACCTGTCCCACTTATAGGCTCGTATGGTGAGTCTTGTGAGTTTGACAGGACCCTGGGCAGTGATAAGGCTAAGGCTGGTGAGTTATGGAGGAACCTGCTCACATAATGCTGTTAGGATGAGAATGATGAGTTAATAGGCAACCTTCCTACTTATGGAGAGTACATGAGGCTCGTGAGTTTCCAGGTAGTTTCCCTCACGCTTATGGGGTTAGTGTGAGACTCGTGAGTTACCAGATACCCTCTTCACGCTTATGGGGTTAGTGTGAGGGTCGTGAGTTACCAGGTACTCTCCTCACGCTTATAGTGTTAGCGTGAGGCTCGTGAGTCGACTTGCCCACATACCGAAAACATAGTGGCTGGGTTTGAAGAGTTCTCCTAGCGGGCCGGCCTTGACGGAGTCCATGGTCCCGGGTTCCAGGTCTACTAAGACGGCCCTGGGCACGTACTTCCCTGGGGCACCCTCACTGTGGGGGTCATACATGGGTCATACAGGGTATCCTCTGGCACACAGGGGGTCACAAGTGTCATCCTGGAGTTACACGGTGTCACAGGTATCATGCAAGGTCACATCTTTCTCACAGAGGTCACACGAAATCACATATAACTACACGGGGTCACACAAGGCATTCAGAGGCCACAAACAGCATTCAGTGGTCATAGTTGGTGGCACTCAGATCAAACACAGCATTGAGATCACAGAATACACCCAGGGAATCACCACACAATGCACGCAAGTTATCAGGTATAGTGTCTGCAGCACCATTCACCATACACAGGGGGACGACACTCAGGACTCATAGATAACACTGAAACATAACACTATATATTATCCTTAAAAATAAAAATAACAATTCCATGCCTTATAGACTACACACCCGCCGCCAACATTACACCTTAGACTCTTCATAAACTCTACAAAAATAAACCAAATAATATCAGGTTCTCCCACACTCACACCAACTCTGGACGCGACAGGGGGGCATCCCTAACACACCTCTTATGATTGGAACTTATACCTAGAGAAAACAAAATAATTAATTAACTAATCCAAGCTAATCAGGGCATAATAATCTGTCAGTTCTGAAAATCCTTGAACATCCTCAAAATCGGAACTTAGGGTGTTAGTTCTATTAATTTGTTACTTTTAAAATCAGTTTTGAACTTTGGGTATATACTGTATTTTTATAGACTTTAATAATGTATTAAATATCTTAGTTATGTCTTAGGTTAGGTTATATTAAGAAGGTATGGTAGATAACTTAAAATTAATCTGACTAGTTGTATAAATGAACTTGACTTGGGAGAGAAACAGACAGATAGACTTAGGTAGAGAGACAAACATAGGAATAAAGACAGAGAGAGAGAGAGAGAGAGAGAGAGAGAGAGAGATAGATACAAACAAACAGACAGAGACATAGGGAGAGAGAGAATAGACAGACAGACATAAGGAGAGACACAGACAGATGACATGTTAAAGTCTACCCCACCCCCCCCACCCTCCCTCTTTCTCGGCGGCCTACACCTCAACACCATGACTGAAGACCTACCTGTAGTAGACGTTGATCCTCTCCAGCTGTAGTTCCCGGACATCGTGGGGAACGTTCTCTCGTAGTGTGCCCGCTGCTGTGAGGCCATGTTCGTCACTGATGATTTCCCAGAACTGTAAACACAAACAGACAGACATGGAGTTAGATGGATAGGTAGGTAGGTAGGTAGGTAGAGAGGTAGGTAGGTAGAGAGGTAGGTAGGTGAGAGGTAGGTAGGTAGGTGGAGGTAGGTAGGTAGAGAGGTAGGTAGGTAGAGAGGTAGGTAGAGAGGTAGGTAGATAGGTAGGTAGAGAGGTAGGTAGGTAGAGAGGTAAGTAGGTAGGTAGGTAGAGAGGTAGGTAGGTAGAGAGGTAGGTAGGTAGAGAGGTAGGTAGGTAGAGAGGTAAGTAGGTAGGTAGGTAGAAAGGTAGGTAGATAGGTAGATAGGGAGAGAGATTGAAGATTAGATGGATAGATAGATATACAATAAAATCGACATACAAAAGTTTACACTGATTCAGCATGAGTATAGACAGTACAGGTATACACTATGTATAGTTAGGTATGACCAACCACAAGACAGGTATTTACACTGAGTATTTTAAACTAACAGTCCACGAACAGTTGAGGTTGAGTTACATCTTTATAAGGGAGGGTCAGGGAGCTAGGGGGAAGGGGGTCAGGGGCTAGGGGAGAGGGACAAGGAGTTAAGAGGAAGGAGGTCAGGGGGAGAGGAGTCTGGGAGCTAGGCGGAGGGGTTAGGGACTAGAGGAAGATCAGGGGGCTAGGAGGAGGAGAAGGGGGTCAGGGGGCTTGGAGGAGGGGATCAGGGGAAGGAGACCAGCTGAGTAAGAACGTTAAGTAATCATGACAACCAACTTTACAGGTATTATCACGGTGTGGATGAACTAAGTACACGGTTATATCATCTATTTACGGGACGTGCGGGTATATATATGTGTGTGGGTGGGTGGGTGGGTGAGTGGCGATGTGGGTATAACGAACCAGGATGGTGTGGGTTTATCGCATTCCTCGGGGTGGAGGAACCGTGGCAACGTCAGCACGCACTCTACAAGGCGGCAGGAAGCACACAGAGCCACCCTTCTCCTCCAACCCTCACCCGCCACTGAGGAGATTACTCAGGTGCTTCATCATCACCACCCACCCACAACCCACCAACCATCACCCACCCACAACCCACCCACCCACCTCCCTCTCTCCTCCTCGCTCTATTCTGTCTGTCTGTCTTTCCACTAGTTTAATATTGTTTCTTGAGTATTTTTTTATATTCGTTATCTACAATCATTATCTCTTTTATCTATATTTTGTTTCGTTATTCGTTAGAGGGATTCGAACCATCGGAAACCAAGAATTTATCCAGACATCTTCGTGAGGAATTGATTTTATACTCAACGTGTTTGGTCTTTTATGAATAACAAAGGTTTACACATAATAATTAAAGACAGTATTGGAACATAACACAAAATCTGCCTAACTCACCAGCATAACAAACACTGGATAAAAATTGAAGTTACTAAGTGTTTAAAGAGACTGTTTGTGTATATGATGGAGTTTGAGATGATGAAGTGTCTGATGATGATGATAATGATGATGATGATGGTGGTGGTGGTGGTCTTACTTCCCGGATAACTCTAGTTCATAACATTGATCACTTCCGGTGTGTGTGTGTGTGTGTGTGTGTGTGTGTGTGTGTGTGTGTGTGTGTGTGTGTGTGTGTGTTCAGTCTCAAATGCTTCATCCACCCCTCTCTCATTCTACCCCCTTCCCGCCTCCTCCCCCACCTCCATGCCCCCCCCTTCACCACCCCCCATCTTAGAATCCGATGGTGAATATAACTATTGAACGATGACAAACATAAACAAGAAAGATGGCGTCGAAATTGCCCCAAGACTACAGTAATAACAAGTGCTCTCGTATCCTCAATTACCGGAAAAAGATTCAACTTAGGAATCATCTAGAAAATCCGGGTCGAGGGGAACACACACACACGCCGAAGAGACAGAACCACGCCGAGACTACCGTAGTTAATGACGGTCTTATTACTGTCTCTTCAACCACAATGACAGATTATAACATTTTAAATCCTCTCTCTACCACTTCTCCTCCTCCTCCACTTCCCTTCTCTCACTCCTCCATCCTGTCCCTCCCTCTTCTCTTCTTCCTTTCTACTCCTCCTTACTTGATAGCGTGCTCCTTCCCCCCCCTTCCTACCTCTCTCCCCTCACTTGGTAGATCAGCCAGGCGTGACACAAACCGCACCTGTCCCCTCCTGAGGTATATAAACACCCCGGGGGAGAAGAGGTAGGAAGGGGGAGGATAAAGAGGGGGTAAGGAGAGAAACAAGGAAGGGAGAGGAGGAGGGTAAAGAGGAGAGGAGAGAAAGGAATAAGGAAGAGAAGTAGGAAAGGAGGGAGGTGGGGGGAAATACACTCAGCAGGGTTGACCTTGGGTTCTTCGACTCCAACAACGTCTTCATGAATATATATACCTCTCCTGGGGGTGTGGAAGGGGGGAGGGAGGGGGATGGGGTAATGGGGGGGCGGGGTATGGGGGTAAGGAGGGAGAAAGGGGGTCACTGAGGTATTGTGGGCACGCATTCTAACATACAGCAATAGTACCTCGGTTGGAATCCCCAAATATTCGAATATGGGGAAGGATATTGAGTCCGTGGTGGAGTGGATAGGGAGGAAATATAGAGTTAGTAAATCCACTACTTTGGTTCAAATCAGATAGGTATAGAGTTCGTGTGGGAAAGTGGTAAGGGAACTGCATATGGTATAACCAGTACTTTGGGTCGCATCTTGGTGAATAAATCGCGTTAAATAAATCCCCAGTAAATAAGTCGCGTTACTAAGTGGGATTTAACTCAAGACAAACACTAATTAATCCTCATAAGGCAACAGTAATCCCTGAAACACCTGCAACTCAAGAGATCTTCCACACACAGATTTGTACGTAAGTTAGTCTTCCCGTTGGCAACAGAAAGGTGAGGGGCTGTTAACAGTAAGCCATGCAGGTAACGGGACGCAACCCCCTCACTCAGCCGTTAACAGGTATGATTAAAACGGTACCGAGGTAATAATAATCAACAACTGGGGAATTGATGATGATGTTAACTAATGGAGAGATGGATTGTAAGTCATGGTGAGAGAGAGAGAGAGAGAGAGAGAGAGAGAGAGTCCATCACGAAGGTTCTACCCAAGACTCTTAGAGGGTCATGTACACCTCTCTCTCTCTCTCTCTCTTTCTCTCTCTCTCTCTCTCAGATCCGGATTCATAAAGACCAGAGTTAAATCCAAAGAGACTGTCGCCAATTCACTTTACGATGGCTATAAAAACAAAAAATTCCGAGTTATGGAGGTGTTCCGAGTTCTAAAGAAATTGAGATGGTGTATGGTGTGTAGTGTGGTATGGTGTAGTGTGGTGTATTGTGGTATGGTGTAGTGTGGTAAGATATACAGAGTGAGACAGAGAGAGGGGGGGGAGGATGAGGAGGGGTGGAGGGTATACACGAACGTCTAGGAGTGAGAGGTATCGTTAACTAGTAGGAGGGGAGGTGGGGGTGGAGGGGGGGTGAGGAGGGGGTAGTGGGGTGATGGTTAGAGGTCTTAGTAACAGTAGTGTGGTGACTTACCGTTATAAGTCTGGCCCACAATCCCTGTTGGGAGGGAGTGCCTGTCTGATTGTCTGCCTCTCTCTCATGCTCCAATCCCTCCTCTTCCGCCTCTTCTTCACCCTCTTCCTCCTACTCTTCCTCATTGAATTATCTTCTTTTCCCCCCCAATCCGCTTCAATTTTTCCTTCTTTCCTCTTTAATTTCCCTCTTTATCACCTTCTCCCTCTTTTATCTTTTCCACCTCTTCATCCTCTCTATCATCTTCTTTGCTCTCTCCAGTCTCTTCCTCTCCTAAACACCCCATTCTCTCACACGTGTAGCAGGTGAGGGGAGGTAAGGAGGTGTTGATCTACCCACCTCACTGTGCCTGTGCTGGGCGATGACGTAGCCAGGTCGTGGGTCCCACACCCTCCCTCCTCCCCTTCCAAATTACCCTTCTTCTCCCCCTAACCCCTCCATCTTCCTTCCCACTCATCTCCTCCCCACCCACCTCTCCCTCCCTCTCCTCCAGTGCACATTCCTTCTCACAATTACACACACACTCTCCCTCCTCTACACCCTCGTCCTCGTCTTCGTCAGGTACCCCCTCCTCCTTCGTCATCGCCACCACCTTAAATCTACCTCACTTATAATCTCTAGTTCACCTGAGACTCATAAATACTGAATCTTACCTGAAGAATTACTGTAATGTTTGTTTCTGTTTTATTATTATTATCATTATCGGTCATCAGTTACGTCACCTCATCCCGTTTTTTGTTGCTGCGTGACGTCACTCAAGAAACGTGCACACACAATATAAATCTTCGGACAGTCATCTCTATACGTAGGAGTGTGACGTCATCTATGTAACGAGGTAATAAGCCTAACTGACTGGCAACCAGGAGTCACCATTCAGTAATTAAATTAACCACAACACGCACCACCACCACCACCACTACCTCTCTCATCAGCTTATTCACCAAACACACCTTATTGATAATTAACCTGTGTCATACCTTTAAAATTGATTGAATTATTGAAACGAATGTAAAAAGAACTACTAAAAAAAAGTCTGGTGATTGAATTCTACTTCGGAAAATTCGTCAAAAATATCTGTGGTAACTTAACCATGTCTATAAAAGGGAAAAAAGATTAAGGAAAAAATCTAAACCAAAGATTCTCTCCACTGGAACGTGACTCGGGTGTTGGATGGTTGAGTGAAGCCCCATACACACCTGCTCGCGGTCTCTGAACACCTGGGGGGGGAGGGGGAGGTTGGCTACTCTGCAAACCTACCTGTGTACAGCGCACCTCAGCCAGGTATAACGCCGGTCACCTGTACCTATTGTTAGTCACTCAGGTGGTTAATTAAAAACTACTTAACCTTGTATACTATCGTTGATTATCAACAGAATAAACGTGCAGGATACAGTGAAATCTCCATATAACGGATTTTTCCCTCCCTATAATCCGTTAGATGGAGGTTTCACATCAACGGACCCTTGATATAACGGACTG